TGATCTCCGCCAACTTTTCCGCGCCGCGCTTGGCCTCCGTCTCCAGCTTTTCCAGCCTGCAGGAAGCCAGGGAATGGCGGAGCTGGGATAGGGCTGGAGTTGCTCCATGCCTGGGGTGTTTCTGTTCCCTAAATCCCTTCCCGGAATCCCTTTCCTTCCCTGAATCCGTTATGTAAATCCTTTCCCTAAATAATTTCCCTAAATTCCTTCCCTTCCATAAATTTGCTCCTTTAATCCCTTCCCTAAATCCCTTCCCTAAATCCCTTTCCTTCCCTGAATCCCTTCCCTAAATTCCTTCTTTCCTTGAACCCTTTCCCTAAATCCCTTCCCAACACCCCTTCCCTACATCCCTTTCCTTCCCAGCATCCCTTCCCGAAATCCTTTCCCTAAATCCCTTTCCTTCCCTAAATCCCTTCCCTAAATCCCTTTTTTTCCCTGAATCCCTTCCCTAAATTCCTTCTTTCCTTGAACCCTTTCCCTAAATCCCTTCCCTAAATCCCTGAATCCCTTCCCTAAATCCCTTCCCTGAATCCCTTCCATTCCCTAAATTTCTTTTCTTCCCAGAATCCCTTCCCTGAATCATTTCCCTAAATCCTTTTCCTTCCCTAAATCCCTTCCCAAAATCCCAAAATCCCTTCCCGAAATCCCAAAATCCCTTCCCTAAACCCCCTCCCTGAATCCCTTCCCTAAATTCCTTCTCCTTTCCTTGAATCCGTTCCCAGAATCCCTTCCCGAAATCCCAAAATCCCTTCCCGGAATCCCTTCCATTCCCTAAATCCCTTCCCAACACCCCTTCCCTACATCCCTTTCCTTCCCAGCATCCGTTCCCGAAATCCTTTCCCTAAATCCCTTTCCTTCCCTAAATCCCTTCCCTAAATCCCTTTCTTTCTCTGAATCCCTTCCCTAAATCCCTTCTCCTTCCCTAAATCCCTTCCCTGAATCCCTTCCCTAAATTCCTAAATCCCTTCCCTAAATCCCCAAATCCCTTCCCTGAATCCCTTCCATTCCCTAAATTTCTTTTCTTCCCAGAATCCCTTCCGTGAATCCTTTCCCTAAATCCTTTTCCTTCCCTAAATCCCAAAATCCCTTCCCGAAATCCCAAAATCGCTTCCCTAAACCCCCTCCCTGAATCCCTTCCCTAAATTCCTTCTCCTTTCCCTGAATCCTTTCCCTAAATTCTTTCCCTTCCCTAAATCCCTTCTCTAAATCCCAAAATCCCTTCCCTGAATCCCTTTCCTGAATTCTCCTTCCCTAAATCCCAAAGTCCCTTCCCAAAATCCATTTCCTTCCCTAAATCCATTCCCTAGATCCCTTCCCAACACCCCTTCCCTACATCCCTTTCCTTCCCAGCATCCCTTCCCTAAATCCTTTCCCTAAATCCCTTCTCCTTCCCGAAATCCCTTCCCGGAATCTCTTCCTGAAATCCTTTCCTTCCCTAAATCCTTTCCCAACACCCTTTCCCTAAATTCCTTCTCCTCCCCTAAATCCCTTCCTGGAATCCGTTCTCTAAATCCCAAAATCCCTTCCCTAAATCGCTTCCCTAAATTCCTTCTCCTTCCCTTGAATCCCTTCCCTAAATCCCAAAATCCCTTCCCTGAATCCCTTCCCGAAATCCTTTCCCTAAATTCCTTCCCGGAATCCCTTCCTTAAATCCCTTCCCTATATCCCTTTCCTAAATTCCTTCCCGGAATCCCTTCCCTAAATCCCAAAATCCCTTCCCGGATTCCCTTCCCTTCCCAGAATCTCTTCCCAAAATGCCATCCCAGAATCCCTTCCCGAATCCCTTCCCGGATTCCCTTCCCTTCCCAGAATCCCTTCCCGGAATCCCTTCCCGGAATTCCATCCCGGAACCCCCGTTTGGGATGAAGGTCTGGAGCAGCCCAGGGAATCCGGCCATTCCCGGAGCATCTCCGGGAAATTCCTGCCGGAGCCACCCCCAAATTCCCGGAATTGCCGGCAGCCGCTTCCCGGAGGAGATTCCCGCTGGGAATTCCCATGGAGCGGGGAATTCCCATCCTGCTCCAGCCGGGAGCTGCTCCAAAGGCAGCGGGAGCACGGATTTGGGCTTGCCGAATCCCGGGAATGCGGCTGGTGGAAAAGCGGGATGGGAGCAGCCAGGAAGGATCCCGGGGAGGGTCAGGGAATGCCAGGGGCTGGAAGGGCTTCGGGAAAATCCCAGCAGGAAAAATCCCGCTGTCGGAGGAGGGGGATGGGCAGGGCCTTCCCAGGAATGCGCTGAGGAATTCCAAGGGGGAATTCCCGGGTGGTTCGGGATGGGATCCGTGGATCTTCAATCCCTTCCCGTTCCAACCCCGCCATCCCAGGGTGATCCCGCCTTTCCTTGGGAGCTCCCAGGGATTCTCTGGGAATTCCAGCCCAGCCGGGAATCCCTTCCCGAGATCCCAAAATCCCAAAATCCCGACCCTGGGGCAGTGGGAGCCGTTCCCTGTCCCGGCATTCCGGGCCCTTTTCCCAAATCCCCCTCCGGCTCTCCTGGATTGGATCCAGCCCCATCCCAACTCCTCCCGGAGAAGGAATTTTGGGATCCAGGGGCTTCACTGGGAATTGGGGACTCCAGGAAGGGTCTCCCTTCCCTTTCCCATTCCTGAATTCCATAAAAATTCCCCGGGATGGATCCTGAGTGTCCTCGATCCCAGAATCCCGGAATGGTTCGGGATGGGATCCATGGACTTCCAATCCCATCCCATTCCAACCCCGCCATTCCAGAGGGTTCCACCCTTTCCTGGGGCACTCCCAGGGATTCTCCGGGAATTCCTTCCCGAGCTCCCAGCCCCAGCTCCCCTTTCCCAGTGGGAATCCATTCCCTGACTCCCGGCCCTTCCCCAAATCCCAGCCGAAATCCCAAATCCCGAAATCTCCCACGGGAACCCGGCGGCGTTCCCAAACTCCCGGCCCCATTCCCGCTCACCTCCTCAGCTTCTCCGGGCCCTCCTTTTCCCGCCTCCGCCATTCCCGGAGATCGGATTCCACCTGGACGTTGGTCACCAGCTGCGTCCCGTGGAACAGGAGCTTGGCCAGGACCTGCCGGGAATTCCTCCTTGGAATGCGCCAATCCCGGATCCTCCCCGTCCCCGGGATGGGCGGGAACCCAATCCCAAGGATCCAGCTGGAATCCCCGTCCCTGGGAGCTCCTCTCCCGGCTTTTGGCCCGTCGAGGAGGAAAGTTTGGGATGAGGAGGGATCCGAGGGGAAATTCCTTTTGGATCCCGAATCCCGATCCTGGCGTTTCTCTCCTGGATTTTTGTCCCGCCGAGGATCCAAACAAGGGATCGGGGATGGATCCCAGAGGAAATTCCCGTCAGATCCCAAATCCCAGGAGGAAAACAGGGATTGGGGATGGATCCCAGAGGAAATTCCTGGCGGATCCCAAATCCCAGGAGGAAAACAGGGATCGAGGAGGGATCCCAGAGGAAATTCCCGTCAGATCCCAAATCCCAGGAGGAAAACAGGGATCGAGGATGGATCCAAGAGGGAATTCCCGTCAGATCCCAAATCCCAGGAGGAAAACAGGGATCGGGGAGGGATTCCAGAGGAAATTCCCATTGGATCCCAAATCCCAGGAGGAAAACAGGGATCGGGGATGGATCCCAGAGGAAATTCCCATCGGATCCCAAATCCCAGAAGGAAAACAGGGATCGGGGATGGATCCAAGAGGAAATTCCTGTCAGATCCCAAATCCCGATCCTGGAGTTTCTCTCCTGGATTTTTGTCCCGCCAAGGATCCAAACAAGGGATCGAGGAGGGATCCAAGAGGAAATTCCTGGCAGATCCCAAATCCCAGGAGGAAAACAGGGATCGGGGATGGATCCCAGAGGAAATTCCCATTGGATCCCAAATCCCAGGAGGAAAACAGGGATCCGGGATGGATCCAAGAGGAAATTCCCATTGGATCCCAAATCCCAGAAGGAAAACAGGGATCGGGGATGGATCCCAGAGGAAATTCCCATCGGATCCCAAATCCCAGGAGGAAAACAGGGATCGAGGATGGATCCAAGAGGAAATTCCTGTCGGATCCCAAATCCCAGGAGGAAAACAGGGATCGAGGATGGATCCAAGAGGGAATTCCCTTCAGATCCCAAATCCCAGGAGGAAAACAGGGATCGGGGATGGATCCAAGAGGAAATTCCTGGCGGATCCCAAATCCCAGAAGGAAAACAGGGAATGAGGATGGATCCAAGAGGAAATTCCCATCAGATCCCAAATCCCGACCCTGGGGAGTTCCTTTCCCGTTTTTTTGTCCCATCAAGGAGACGCCCAGGAGGAAAACAGGGATTGAGGATGGATCCAAGAGGAAATTCCCATTGGATCCCGATGATCCAGCTCAAATCCCGATCCTGGGGAGTTTCTTTCCTGTTTTTTTCTCCCATCAAGGCGACACTGAACAGGAAAACAGGGATGAAGGAGGGATCCAAGAGGAGATTCCCGTTTTTTTCCTCACCTTCCCGGTCTCCTGGATCAGCTTCAGGCTCTTCCTCTCCTCTTCCTTCTCCTCCTCCTCCTCCTCCTGCTCCACCTTCTCCCCAAGGGCTTCCCTGGCAGGAAAACAAGGAAAAATGGGAATATTTCCCACTTTTTTGGGGGGGAAAACAGGGAAAAGTGGGAATATTTCCCACGGGTTTTTTTAGGAAAACAGGGAAAAGTGGGAATATTTCCCACCCCAACCTCTCCCCAATGCTCAGGAAGGGCCTGGATCCCATCCCAGTGCAGAACGCCAGGATCTCTCTCCATGGGGAGGGGGGTTCCCAGTTCTCCTCACCGGTTCCCCTTCCCAGTTCTCCTCACCGGTTCCCCCAGTTCCCTCACCGGCCCAGTTCCCCTCACTGGCCCGGTTCCTCTCACCGGCCCGGTTCCTCTCTTTGGCCCGGTTCTCCTCTCTGGCCCAGTTCCCCTCGCTATCCCGGTTCCCCTCACTGGCCCAGTTCCTCTCACCGGCCCGGTTCCCCTCACCAGCCCAGTTCTCACTGGCCCGGTTCCCCCGTTTCTCACTGGTTCCTCTCACCATTCCGGTTCCTCTCACCAGCCCGGTTCTTCTCACCATTCTGGTTCCTCTCACCGGCCCGGTTCTCCTCACTGGGAGACCAGTTCCCCTCACTGTCCCGGTTCCTCTCACGGTCCCGGTTCCTCTCACTGTCCCGGTTCCTCTCACGGTCCCGGTTCCCCTCACTGTCCCGGTTCCCCTCACCATCCCGGTTCCCCGGCCCGATTCCTCTCACGGCCCCGGTTCCCCTCACAGTCCCTGTTCCCCGGCCCGGTTCCTCTCATGGTCCCGGTTCCCCTCACAGTCCCGGTTCCCCGGCCCGGTTCCTCTCACGGTCCCGGTTCCCCTCACAGTCCCGGTTCCCCGTCCCTCACCGGCGCCGGGCATCGAGGCGGTTCCGGCGGGCGGCGATTCGCTGCTGCCGCTCCCAATC